CTTATTACAGTGGTAAATCGATTTAACTTACAATAATTTTATAAATATTAACAGTAAAAAACTGAAATCACAACACAATACTAATATAACATAAAGACATGTAACAGAGTGGTTGCGAGAAAATTAGTTTCATTTCTTCTATTTTTTCTGACTTCTGCGGCGTAAATCCTCGCGCGGCATATATACCGGATTTATCCTATGCGTGCCATGCTGCCGAACGCGCACTTATTATTAATTATACACTATGCGTATTGTTGCTAAACGCGCACTCACTATATGTGTACTACCGAATACGCATTCATTGTGCGTGCTGCTGAACGCGCACTTGCTATATGCGTGCTGCTGGAATCCTTGATCGATAGAGTTCGATAATTTCGAATTAAAGCTCGCAGCACCGGGCGCGCGCCACGCAGTACCATCCATACGCCGGCTGCGTTCCGCAAAGCGCATCATGCGCATGATATATCATGGTATCCTTGTTGTTCATCAAATGTTAAACAAAGATAAAAAGTAGCCTATACTTTCTAAATTGTTTAAAGATAAAAAGATAAATCTTGCGCATAATGCGCTTTGCGGAACGCAGCTGCCGTGTCAATTCCCTACTACTGAGCACTCCGCGCCCCGCCAGCGCGCCGCGACGTTAATTCAATTGTATGAAATTTTGACGGAATAATCACACCAAGATTAAGCATATTGTCTATTGTACTACGTGCTTTCCGGAAATAATGAGTGACGACAATACCGTAGGAACAGAGACTCACACATGATTTATTATACATATAATTTAATTTTGAACGAGAGAGAAATCGATGGCTGCCTCTTTTTCTCTGTTTTTTTCTCTTGCACGGCTAGGATAAAAAATCGTATTTGCTTACTGTTAATTATTATAAACTTCTGATACACATTACGGTAATTTAACAGATAATTTAATACGCGAAATGGGCAAAACAATTCCATAATTAACTGTAAAATAATTTGATCGCTTAAATTACCCTTAGCCGATTTCTCTCGCTCGGTGTGATAAATTTAAATAGAAATACAGTCCAGGGATTGGTAAATAACTAACACAATTTGTTATTTAAAATAACAAATAGAAAATAAATTTCAGAAACTTATTTAAAATAAAATATCGCAGGAGCCAATAAAAAATTCATACAACTTATTTAAAATGAGAAATATAAAATACACTGGACAGCAAAATTAAAGCATCACCCATTCTGATCACTAAAAATAGGCAAATTTCAAGAGAGGGTAACTTCGTCAAAAATGATCGTATCGGAATGATCAAAAAAGCATTTTAAAGCTTAAAGTCTCTACTTTCGACATCCATAATTTATTAAATGATTTACTGATTCTTTACAAAGCTGCACAGATGCAAATGGAAATGCATCAAATCTAAAAATTTTTTACTAAGTTTGCAAAGTTCCGTGGCATGAATTAAAAATTGCACGCAAATGAGGTTTACAGCTTTCGAAAGCGTGAAGCTTTAGCTTTAATTTGAGCACTCGACCAGCATTGTGCGATTTTTTTTCACCGAGTTACTCAACATTGAAGTAAAAATGATCCTTTTGCTTCAACATTGAATAACTCGGTGAAAAAAAATCGGAAAATGCTCAACAAGTACGCAAATTAAAGATAAAGATTTATTCGCTTTCGAATGCTGTAAACCGCATTTATGTGCGATTTTTAATTCACGTCGAGGAATCTTGCAAAATTCGTAACAAATTTTGTCGCATATCTGCATTTGTAATTCTCCGTAAAAAATCAGTAAAATCGATATAAAAGTAGAGACTTTAAGCTGTAAAATGCTTATTAAAAAATTTTATTACAATTTGTCATCTTTGCAACGTTACACTCTCTTTTGGAGGACAGAATAGGTGATACTTTAATTTTGCTGTTGAATGCTCATTAAATTTTGAAAAAATTGAACAGTAAAGCTGAAAAATTGTCGATATTTGAATTGTGGTAACTTCGTGAAAAAATCGTGAAACAATTTTCCTGGGCTCGTTTTAAAGGACGAAATCTTTCGATTTTCCTAAGTTGATATTTCTCAAAGATGCTTTTGCACTAAGAAATGAAGTTGAAATTTAAGAAGAATTTGAAGTTTGAAAATTTTGCATTCATTTCTTAGTGCAAAAACATCTTTGAGAAATATCAACTTAGGAAAATCGAAAGATTTCGCCCTTTAAAACAAGCCCAGAAAAATTGTTTCACGATTTTTTTTCACGAAGTTACAATTCAAATATCGACGATTTTTCAGCTTTACTATTCAATTTTTTCAAAATTTAATAAGCATTCAACAGCAAAATTAAAGTATCATCTATTCTATCCTCCAAAGGAGAGTGTAACGTTGCAAAGATGACAAATCGTAATAAAATTTTTTAATGTACATTTTACAGTTTAAAGTCTCTACTTTTTATATCGATCTTACTGATCTTTTATGGAGCATTACGGATACAAATGAAGATATGCATCTCCATTTGCATCCGTGCAGCTTTGTAAAAAATCAGGAAGTCATTTAATGAATTATGGATATCGAACGTAGAGACTTTACGCTTTAAAATGCTTTTTTGATCATTCCGATACGATCATTTTTGACGAAGTTACTCTCTCTTGAAATTTGCCTATTTTTAGTGATCAGAATGGGTGATGCTTTAATTTTGCTGTCAAGTGTATATTTTCCAAAAACGTATTTAAAATAATAAATATTAAATAATTCTTTTACTATATTTAAAATACATTTTTTAAATAATAATATTATAAATACGACCGATTCCTGGATAACACGCAACCGTGTAAGAATATTTAATCAGTAAACTATATTACAATTCACTATATTATGACAAATCTTTCCCTTTGTTCATTCTAACGATATGTTTATACATTGCATTATATTAAGACGATACTTTGTATAATATCAGCTTTAACATACATATATAACATTTAATATGTACTTGTATTAAAATCTTTAATTTAAAAAATATATATAATTAATTTATGTAATATAAAGTTTTGCTAGAAATAGAAAGAAAAAGAAAGAAGAATGTGGCATATATAATACACGATTAGCACGGACACGAACCACGTTCTAATAATCTAATGCTATGATTTGATCGACAATGTTACAAGATAGACGTGATACGTAGTTCCTTTTTTGCAAACGTGGACGTGGGGCGTTAGTGTACGGGGGAGATCGCCACCCAAAAAGCCGGCGTGGCCTCTCTCACGCTTCTTCTCTGTCAGTGGTGAGTGGTGTTGTATCGCGGTTTTGCTGTGCCGTTGTTCATATTGTTGCAAAGTAATTGTCATGGCTTCGGAACGATATAGTTTTTCGTTAACAACCTTTAGGTAAATATATTTACAGTAACATAATAATTGCATACGAAAGCATGCGTTTCAAGCCAATATTTCGTGTTGGTGCTAAAAGTCGGAATGCCATTGAAAATAAGTTAAACGATAACCTCTAAATCGTGGCTGTACTCAGCATATTTTCCAAATGATCGTGAATGAAAATTCTTTGTTTTATTAACGGCGTTTTATTATTATCAACCATTCGTTGACAAATGTATAAATAATCATTTTATTTGAGTACACTTTATTTGAAAAAGGAACACTACATATGACAAGGATGACTCGTCAAAATCTATGAAGCATTATACATGTGTCAAATCTAAAAGTACTAGTACTTCCCATTGTAATGTTATTTAAAATAATTTATACATCACGTAATATATCCATATATTGATATTAATCCATTGAATTATATCCATAACATCCATATATTGATTGACATTGTTGATTTGTTTTACAGTCCATCAGGCAAGCTAGTCCAAATAGAATATGCCTTGGCCGCCGTAGCCGCCGGTGCACCAAGCGTAGGCATCAAGGCGTTAAACGGTGTCGTTCTTGCCACAGAAAACAAGCATAAATCCATTCTCTATGATGAACACAGTGTCAGCAAGGTCGAAATGATCACGAAACACATCGGCATGGTCTACAGTGGCATGGGTCCAGATTATAGATTATTAGTGAAGCAAGCACGGAAAATGGCACAACAGTATCTTCTGGTGTATCGAGAACCTATCCCGACCGCGCAGCTCGTGCAACGCGTCGCGATGGTCATGCAAGAGTACACGCAATCTGGGTGAGCTAATTAATTTTCAACTGTGACTTGTACGTTTAAATGACTTGTTCCGTTCAAATTTTAAATTACAAATTATGTATTTTCAAATACTAAGACATTATCTGATGACTGAATGTAGATGTGCAGAATATTTCTGATTATATAGTAAAAGATAATTATCCAGCAAACAAATATAACTGTATAACATGTATACATATATACATATATACATACATATATATATATATATATACTTATATATTTTTTATGTTATATTTATATTAGTTGGTAAATTATCTTGTACTATATAATCAGAGATATTCTGTATATCTGCATTCAGTCATTGGATAACTTCATTTTACATCTATATTATATAGCATTTATATTCTATGTTTTTGCTGGGTAAATAAGTGATAATACTTAGTACTAAATTATTGTCATTTGCTGATTTATAGAGGTGTTAGACCCTTCGGAGTGTCTCTTCTGATCTGCGGTTGGGACAATGACAGGCCCTATCTCTTCCAATGCGATCCGTCCGGCACATATTTCGCATGGAAGGCAACCGCGATGGGTAAAAATTTCATTAACGGCAAAACGTTTCTCGAAAAGAGATACAGCGAGGATTTGGAATTGGACGATGCCGTACACACTGCCATCCTGACGCTGAAGGAAGGTTTCGAGGGGCAGATGACCGCGGACAATATCGAAGTCGGCATTTGTGATGCCAATGGATTCAGAAAATTGGATCCATCCAACGTCAAGGATTATCTCGCAAATATTCCTTAAGTTACGAAAATTTTCTTTTTAATATATCCTTTCAAAGTAAAATGGCATAATCGTTAACAATAATTTGAATCTGGTTCTTGCAATAAATATCCTATCCAAAGTAAAGCAATTGATTATGTTTTCTTTCATAACATTCACAATTATATTAACCAAATTGTAACCGTTGTCACATATTTAGTAAGATATACATATATCTTATTAATTATACGTATACATATTTTAAGAATTTCTGAGTTTTAGATTCGGAGTACTACTGATACGAACAGATCCAAAAAATTTGATCCATCTAACGTCAAGGATTATCTCATGAATATTGCAAACTATGAAAATTTTAGTCTTTAATTTATTCAAAGTAAAAGAAACCACAATTTAGATAGGCGCGTTATGAAATCTGTTTGCAGCTTAATTTCTGTGTTAAACAATTAATGCCAATTCGCTGCTTTGACCAATAGATTTCGAGTTACGGATCGTTATCGCGCCGCGACAGATCACAATGTGTCGCGTATAAATTGCTCCGCGTTTCCCGTGATTGTTACTGTTTAAAAATAAATCTCGCGCCTGAAGTATTATCGGAGGCGACTTATAAAGCGTGCGTCATGACGTGAATGTCACGCATCGCGATACACACCAAGATCGTTATTTCGATGTCGGCGGCCCACTTTTATGCCTGGAATCAATCAAAATCCACGCTATATTTCAACGTTCCTTTCTAGTTAAAGTGCATGATGCAACGAGTGCATGATTATTGCTAAATGCTAACAAGGGAACCTCGCGAAGTATCAAATTCTGATTTTAATGAAACTTGGTACACTTTGAGTTTACATAAATAGATGAATTTAGAAATTATCAGTTGGTGCTAAAAAACGGTTTAAAGGGATGAATCCACTCCTTATATGTAAATTAATTCTTTTTTTCTTTCGTTATATCTCGAAAACTATTCAAGATATCAAAAAATGTTGTATACAAAAACTTTACAGTAAAATTGTCTTTATTCATTTACGTTAATAATATTTTTTTTAATAATTATATTTAAAAAATTTTTTGAAAATAATCATTTTAAAAAAATTCCATTAACGTAAATGAATAAAGACAATTTTACTATAAAACTTTTGTATACAACATTTTTTGATATCTTGAATAGTTTTCGAGATATAACGAAAGAAAAAAAGAATTAATTTATATATAAGGGATGGATTCATCCCTTTAAACCGTTTTTTACCAACTGATAATTTCTAAATTCATCTATTTATGTGACCTCAAAGTGTACCAAGTTTCATTAAAATCAGAATTTGACACTTCGCGAGGTTCCCTTGTAAGTATGTGTGTACTACAGGTGCGTTATTCTATGATGAAATATGTTGATTATTTTTATGACAATCCATTTTTATATGTATATATTACATATATTTTAATATATGATATATTCAGTAATTTCCGACATTGCAATGTTTTATGTGAACATTGATATCTTTTTATAGCGTTGAGTATCTTATCTATCGCGTTTGATTCAGGCTACAGTGCCTATGATATCGATGCCCCGAGAATATCGCGATGTCGCTCTTCGATATAAAGTTCGAATTGCGCTCACAACAGTTATGACGCAACGATCGCGACGCGGAAAGTCGCATTCGAATCGCGCCGTGTTTCTCGTGATTGTTACCGTTTAAAAGCGCATATCGCGTGCACAGCAGAAAGTCGTCGCGAGTGTTCGCACGATATCCCGTCGCGTTTATGGACGCAAGGCGATAGGCAATTGCGCGAAATTGCTGAGCCCGAAGATGAATCGAGAATCCACAAAGACGTGGTCGGAGGCGCCATGCAGGTACGCGTCTCATCGTTCCACAATTAACTCTCTATGATCGTTTTATTTAAAAATATAAATTTTATTTAAAGAAAAATTTTAATTTTACATAAAATAGATGTAAAAGATATGTATAGCACATGCGGGGGTACAAGTCCGTACTTCCTCGGCACATGACAATTTTTATATTATCGTATATTTACACGGAAAGAACAATTTTGCTGGATCCAGATCTGAAAATAATTTTTGTTCAATAATGAAAATAATTTTGTGGGAAAGTCAAAATAATTGCCAGAATATATCAAATAACGTTTTATAGCAATTATGCTTGTCATTTTTAACATGTCAACAAAATTTTTTCAATGATTCAACAAGAATGAATTTTCAGATCTGTATTTAGCAAAATGTTTAAACCTTTTAACAAAATCGTTCTTTCCGCGTATATTTATATATACCTATTTAATAATTCGACATACGTTCTTCGCTGTTCCATCGCTATACCCTATCTCTGAACCAGGGTTGTGCCGTAGATTTCAAGATTACGTCTACACGGATTATTTACGTGAAATCTACGTGATGTTTACATGGTCTTTTTGTTGCGTAGACAATTTAGACTTGTAAACCATGTAGACTATTGTAAATTGTATCACTAATATATAGAATATAAAAGAATTAAATTATAAGGCAGTCTCTACCCACAATAGAAATGTTCAAAATGTATCATAGGAACAGACTAAAGATGCCACGACATCTTTAGAATATTCTTGATGTATTT